AGGTTGATCTGCACTGCTTTGTACGGATACGACTACAGGATATACGGAGTACCTGGACATGTGGGAGGGAAGGTTGATTTGCGTCATTGTTGAACAAGAGTAAGAGCCATCATACCAGTATCCGTAACCTGTTCATAGAAACTTCGATATCAGTGGCTTTGACACCGATCCGAGTTTTCTACATGTGCCCCTCATTCGATGGTGTTTCTCGTCACTGTGCAATCTGCACATCTGCACGCGACGCAGATCGCCATTTCGGTCCCTATCTTTTTGAGCCTCTTTATCCGCCCCCCACAGCCTTTCCTACTCCCACACTTCGACCCGCTGTGTATTGCGGATAGATGACTCGGATTATTCTCCATTTAGTCCCTTGTCATATTCAGTTTCGAACACCGACGAAAAGTTCCGCTCTCAGCACAACTACTGCTCCACATCCGCCCTGGAACCCCCAGGTTCGGACTTGAAGTTAATGAGGGCCAAGGAGTCTTCAGATCCCTACTCGTTTAATCCCACGCTGACAGATCAAGGTCCAAGAAGATTTGATACTGGCCAGACAGAGGTGCTCTGGTGCTGTTTACCCATCCCCCTCTGGCACCCGGGCTCAAGTTTTGGTGGCTTGACGCCGTCGAATGGTTCCTGACAACTTCCTGTGAGTTTCCTTGTCTTTCATGGCTTCAAGTGGTTAGCGGTGTCTTAGTCTGGTACCAACCACCAATGATGGCTCGACCAGACTGGCGCTATCGTCGAGACTATTTGCTGGGCCGCCGCGAGCTGGACTTCCAAAAGATATTCTCGACGTCGACGACTCCTCTCCACCCCATTGTTCTCTGCAGCCGTTCCATCAAGCCGTGAAAGCATGGTGGCATGTCTGCAGCTTCCCGACCACCCCGTTTTGTTCGCTACTGCCTAGCGTCGGATTGTTGATGAGAAAATCGACATACCCGGCTGGCCACCGTCGCTGACATTCCGCCAAAGTCTGCCAGATCGAGAACCCCTGTTACATCGCGCCCGCGATCCCTGCTCGGAAAGAAGCCGTTCCTGTTGTCGATCACAGAGCAGCATGTCGGACTGCAAACGCTTCCAGACGGGCGAGTGCTGGAACCCAGCTGAAATGCAAGTACATGGGATTGCCACGCATCGTGCACCTTTGATCCCACATGTTGTGTGCTCAGCCCTTCGGATATGCCATGCGACGAGATAGAAACCCTCTCGGGGGAATCTAGACGAAGTCGTTCATCGTCCGGAGCCAAAGGAGTGGCTTACACTGCGGCAAAAGGGTGGGTTTTCGTCTCTTGTTAACTCGAGCTTTTCAAGACACAAATTCTCAAACGTAGCATCCTTTGCTCTTGTACCCCCTCTCCGCACCAGTTCTTTGTCTGCCGGGACTCGGTTCATGGTCGTTGACCATCACCCCGTAAACCGTCCGACATTCTTTGTTCTTCAGACGTTAGCTGAATCGCCAGCCAGAGAAAAACAAACGAGGACTGCTGCCACGCGAAACTCTCGATAGCCGAATTTTCCGGCATGCTGTAGTCTTATATGAAGCAGCATGTCTGAGATCGTTGAACGAGCACCAGCACTCTAGATCTCGACATCACTGCCTGACAAACCCAGATCCTTGGTTTAGTGAGCCGCATCCGTCTTTACATTCTATCAGGCCAGTTTCTTGAAATCTGGTAGTCTCGAGTCCGTGTACTCCCATTCTGTCTTAAGAATCACGACTCATCATTTTTTACGCCCGCTGTACATTCTGAGATTTGACGCCATCTGAACTCGACAACGCCAAGGCAGTGGAGACCAAGAGTGACGGCATTACAGCAATTGAGTTGTTGTACACCCAATTCAGCGACTTGAGAGTAATCTTACGTCTGTTGCCAGTCCTGTATAACAGCAGACCGGCTGTCGCACATCGAAAACAACTACACCATCGCTGTGTAATCTAGACTCAACGACAAGATGCCCAAGTCCCCCTTCTCTCCGGGCTCAAGCCGTACCACATTCTCATCCGTTGGTCGCATGCCTGTCATTGCCGAAGACGACTCACTCCCCGCCGTAACACACCCAAACATGGCTGCCCTCCCTCCACCACCGCCATGCCGCAGCACGAAACCGAAATACTACGGCCGCTCGCCGGTACCACGAGCTATCAACTCGCATCCGTCCTACCCTCCCCCGGCCTATTCTCGCAGCTCGTCTCGCGATAGTACCCTCAGCACTCTAAGCACGCGCAGCCTACTCAGCGCAGGCAGCTATGGCAGCCGTCCGAGCTCGGGCACATCTACACCCAGGCTTTCTCCCAGAAATTCTCTCAAGGATAAGTCTCGGCTCCTTCCCATCACTACGCCTGTAGGGCCATCATCAGCTGCGGAGAAGGCCAAGAAGGGACCCTGGATCGCTCGCCGCAGCAACAGATACCGCATGATAGTTGCCCTTATCCTTGGAATCGGCCTAATTGTTGGTTTGTCGGCTGGCCTGACTGTTGGATTGCGCGGCCCGTACGTAACCTCCCCTCTCTAAACCCCTTACACCATCACTGACACCTTGCAAGACCTCCTTCAGCAACGACAGATACCAACACGAACTCAACCACCTTATTTCCATCTGGCTCTTTCGCTTTCAACACGGCTCTGTTAGAGTCCAACACTGGGTGCACCGCCAACCCATCGACGTGGCGCTGCTACCCATACCAAAACTACTCGCAATCCGCAAACGACTCTCTCGCATCCTTCTTCTGGACAATCTCCCCAAAGAACTCATACACGTATCAGGTCTCATCCTCCTCCAACCCCTTTGCTCCGCAATTCACAAACCAGACAATGGTGCTGCTCGAGGGAAACACACTCAACGAGCGCCTCGTCTTCAACTTCTCTCTCCCAAAGACCGTGGTCCCGTCCGAGGCAATCACCGAAGACGGACGCGCTGCGACCTGCACTTTCTCCGACATGGCTTTCCGCGCTACTCTCTGGACGAGACGCAACACGACCACGCCGCTCGGGACTGTTGCGTCTGGGACGAACGCGACGAGCACTGATGGAAACGTCAAGTGGGGACCGTGGCCTGGCCAAGTAGAGATCGTGCAGGTCAAGAAAGGGGGCCCGGAGTGCCAGGATAAAGCTGGCAACGCTGTCACCGTCGCGGCGGGGAGGGAGCAGTGTAAGTGCAGATATGCCAACTACGACTTGACCACGCAACAGAAGACGAGGAGAGATTGGCAGGCATGAGAAAATTCGGTTCTTTTGCATTGAGGGTTATATAGGCTTCGGCGTTTGGGTTTTGGATATGGTGAGATGTACATAGCATGAGGAGTTTTGGATGGCATCGGCATTATGACTAGACTTTTGAAAAGATACCCTATACTGGAAGATACATTTCTTTTGTGTCACATCTTCTTTGAGCACCTCTTGATATGAATACCTTGCATACACCCATCTACCTCATACATAGCCCTGCCATCCAACGCAGCGAGTTCTTTGACAAGTGGCCATGTACTGATCAAAAGATCTTTAGTATAAAATGGGGTTCACCAACTTGTCTGTGCCTAAAGAACCCGCCAAAGCTTGACGCGGAGCACAACTTCTGCCACGTTGTTCTAGTAACTATTCGTGACGTATCCGTAGGCTTTATTAACCAAAAATGTGTATAATTAGACCGTAGGGGTACGTTCTTTTTTTAATTCACCTAGCGTTCACGTCCACGTAGATTCCGTTCATTGCCTCATCCTCAGCCCCCGCTCGTCGGCTGCTTTGCCTATCACGAATACGTCGCGGACCAAGCGAGATCACGGACTGATGTGGTTTGAATCTATACATAGACAAGGAGCGCAGAAGGCAGACGAGCACATTGGCCTAAAGAAAGTTTCTATCAGCAGCTTGAAGTCCACCTATACCATGAGTGATCTCGTCGAGAACCATCGAATGGCTGGCCCCGGCTGCACTTGCTACAACACAGCTCGATGCATTGGAGACGTTGCGTCGCCCGACAGCTCGATACATATACTATGTACATTGACCTCATTCCCTTCCTGTCTTGGGCGTTTAGGCAAAGGAAGTGGCGCCTGAATGAGAAATTGGCACATATTCAAATACGACTGCAGGATCGCGGCCAGACAGTAGACCCTTCCCACCAGCCAAAGCTGTTGCGATCAGCCCAGGAGTACTCCGAGAGAGCGAGAGAGCCTTGTCGATCCCTGCCCCATCTTATTATAAAGGTAGCGTTCGAGAGGGCATCGACTATCTCCAAATCTTCACCTCTCTATTCGTTAGTTCCTTTCACGAACATCGTATCCGTTAACGAATACGTCAACGTTAAAGCGCTACCAAGGGGGGTGGATTGTCTGAAGGTGAGGGTGTTTCCGAGGAGGCCTGTCCCTCGCCAGGTTAACAAAGACATAAGGGGACCGCACAGGAGGACGAACGGGTGGTGAATTCCGGGAGGTGAAGCGCCTTCCAGCGGATCGCAGAGCACATTGTCCTTTTGCCTGTTGCCGTGGATTGGTCCAAGTATTTATAGCTTAGTAGAAGGGGAACGGTCTGCAGGGATTTATGGTGATGGCTCAGGTTATCAACCACCCACATGGGCTTATTGTCAGATATTGCTGAGGACGCACGAGATTTGATCGGGTCGCAACAGCGCTCTTTCATTTTTATTTTTATTTTTAAAAAAATAATGTCATGTTTATAGTTGTCGTCTTCTTTGTGCGACCTGTCTAACACTAGGCGCCTGCTTCCAGCAAAGTCAAGGGCCTCGAAAGCAATTGTGAATCTAACAACATACACGCCACCGGTTTACTTTGTAAAGAACATACTCTATGGACCCTCTTTGCACTAACGATTCCCCATTCAAGGATACATACCTCTAGACCAAAGACGGACCAGCCGTCTCTGGTCCTCACTCAAACCATGCGCCATCCGCTACTCCAGATCCGTTACAGTTCTTCACAAAAGGCGGGAGAAATGACAAAAATAGATGACTATAACTCACAAGCTCACTGCTCAATGGCCTCAATTCTGGTCCATGGCGTCGGGGTTATTGACAAACTCGTCAAAAATATCCATCTCGTCGGGGCCACCTCCAATGTTTTGTTCCTGAGCATCCTGGAGAAGATACTGCATCTGCATTTGAGGCTGCCTAGAAGGGCCAGGGTCCTGGATGTACTGATTCTGCTGCTGTTGACGTTGCTCTTGCTGTTGCTGCCGCTGTTGCCACTGTTGCTGCCACTGCTGCCGCTCCTGCTGCGCTTGCCGCGTGAGACCCAGTCGCCCGACTTGAGCATATGGAGCAGGATCAGCAGGCTGTTGGTGAACAGAGTTCAAACGCCAGACTTGGGCGTACGGGTCAGGATCAGCAGGCGCCGCAAACTGAGGCTGTATAGCTCCAGGCCGAGGGAGTTGGATATTCGGAATCAATGGCTGAGGAACAAAAGGCTCACCTGGCGGTGCATACGCGTTCCACGGAATCTGTCCCGCATCCTGAACTGTCTGCGCCTGAAGGTATGCCGCTAGACCTGCTTGAGCTTCTATACGGGGATTCTGTACCATGGGATCCGGCGCGGCATAGTTGAACATGTAGTTGTTGTTGACGTTGTCGGGCTGCATGGCTGGCATCTGCGGTTGCCACTGCGCCTGCGGTGCCCCTTGGACTCTCCCGCCAAAGCCGCCAGGCGGGTTGACAGCAGCAGGTTGATTGTACTGGTTGTTGAGGCCGACGAACACAGGTGCGGCCGCCGAGGATCCCTCCTTGATCATGGGCATTGGAGATAGGGCCGGGTAGCCTGGGGCGACGACGGGGCGGTTGTTAGATGATTGTCCGAGAAGATTGTTTCCCTGCACAGACTGAGGTTGGACCGGCGGCTGGAAAACGTCGAGGAGCAGCGGCTCTTCGGGGACTCCTTGTTGCCATGTCTGCACCCTCTGGACGTCCAGTGCAACCGGATTCCCGCTGCCGTCGTCGACCGCACGCCGGACTGCGCTCCTTCCAGCATCGCCTTCCGCGTCGTCCCCTTCGTCCTCGCGTTCACGCTTGACCCGAGGGGGCTCGTCACCAGGGACGCGAGGAGTTGAGAAGAAGTCTTGGGACCACGCGGCCAGAGCATCGTCCGACTCCTGGTCGTTCCTGGCGAGACGATTGTTGATCGTGGCAACCAGCTCTCTCAGATCCGGGCGATCACAGGGGTTATGGGCCATGCATCTCTGTACCAGGTCTTTGAGCTCGGGATCAATGTTGTTGAACTTTGCACTCTGCAGGGCGCCTCCGTAGGTAGTGATGTCTCGTCCCCAAGCATCACTGTAAGGGACTCGAATGGCAGACTGATGGAATGAACAGAGAGTGATGGCGCACCAGATCTGTCAAGCTTGTCAGTTTAAGATATCACAGTAAAGTGGAGGTCATAGCGATCAACTTACAATGATGCCCACCTGGTAGATGTTTGTGTGCATTCCGTAATTTCCAGCAACTGGTGGCTTCGTTCCATCGTCGGCCACGAAATGGTTGACGCCGTCGTCGTCGATGAAGTCGTTCACCTGCTCCCACTCGCTGGTAAATTGTTCCTAGACAGTACACATCAGTAAAAGCGATCGGAATACACGCAACGTGACGGATGACTTACGGGTGCGTAGTAAATGGGCTTTCCTCTAACACGACAGTGCCAGAAAAACTCCTTGCTGATGGTAAAAAAAAGAAAAATCAGTCATGTCAAGCTCACAGCAGTCTTTTGGGCATTAACTTACTCGAAGTGTGTGGGGTCATTCGCGTACTCGCTGAAGAACTCGGTTAATCCGAAGTCGGCAATCTGGAGACTATTAGTATGTACCTTCTTAAAAAATGGGTGAGAGGTTGTAATACCTTGAAAGTAGGGAAGTTGCCGTGAAGCATGGATCTGTTAGCCAAAAGAACTGCGCAAGTTAGCTTCTTGTAACCAAGAGTCAGAGTTCTCACAGAACTTACCATTTCTAGGGTCAAGATCGAAGTGCACGGTTTCCTGGAGTTCGAGTTTTGGGTCATCGGGGAACACCTCGTCAATTGGCTTCTGATATTCCCAATCTGGATGCGAAGCTTCGTAATGTTCCCTCAGAGGGTAACCCATACCAACCAGACCGAGGACGACTATCAAGATACAATCAGTGACACAATCCTAAGGTTATCAGGCAGAATGGTTTAAAGACTTACGACTTTGAAAGAGCATCCAGATGGCTCTCTGAGGCCAACACTGCCCAATACGGCTAGACTTGCTGAGCCACAAGCCTAGGTCACCAAGATTGGCATTCTCGAGAATGAGGAAGTTGCGAATGGGTTGTTTTTCGAAGTTCTTGAGACTCCAATTCTTGTCTTGGGTCTCTGGATCGGGCAACCTGGCCCCAGCTGGTGGAGGGGGGTGGCTGTTTCGGTACGCAGTCAGGTCAATAGCCCTTTGTGCTTGGATTTCTCGAGTGATATCTGATATCTGCAGGATATGCTGTGCTCCTACGAATTTCTACAACACGTTAGAATTAAAGATACTCATGAGACTGGATCGAGAGGGGAATTACTTACCCAGAGAGCCTTCTCCTCTCGTGCCAGCGCCGAATTGCCGTGGTGACGAGACTTTTCAATCTTGATCACGCAGTCAGTATTAAAGCCGTTTTGGGGGTTCTTGTGCGTAATGTGAGCTGCGAACCCGTAGCCCCCTGCTCCCAAAATACGCTTCAGACGGATGTTGTAGCCCTTGGGATGCTTTTGACCCCCGTACTTGGCTTGTGCCTCGTCCAGATGAGTCGAGTCGAAGTAGCGGGAAGCGTACTTCACACTTGGTCCTTGTATTCTTGGGTCGGGAGGGAACGAGGCTGGGACGCCAAAACGATAAGGGTGGACATTGCCGTTCATGTCGTATTGGATGAATTGCTCACCCATCTCGCCACCCATTCTTGCTGTGATCTTGTTCACCAACTTTATTCTTTTCAGCTTCGCTATCCTTGCTTCAGCCAGGGCCAGCTGCGCGGCCTGGGGAAGCTGAGGGCCATTGTTGCTCATGACTACCTGAGCCTGATGAATAGGGTTCTGTGACATGCTGATGATTCTTGATTGGGTATAGTCTTGCGATGGTATCTGCTCGATTTGCTTTGATATGGTGGAGTTGGAATTAATTGATGATGATGCTGATGTATTTGATGAATATGTCTCTGATTTTCTATATATTCAAATGCCAGTGACAGTCAATTGTATATGTATGTGTCTTTCCCTCGAAGGTTTCTTTATCGTTCGTTCAACAAAGAAGTGTTACGCAGGCAAGACGAGAAGATCACTCCAATGGTTGTCTTCGAGAACAATGTGTACCGCATACTTGCGATAGCTTTGAGAGCGTCCCATTTCTCAGAATAGTCAATGCATCAACAAGCCCTGCCACTGGAATTGAGAGTGTTTGAAAGCCTTGGTCAATTGTGTCTTTGCTGGCACAGAAGCATTCCATTAGCAGAATAAACAATACCGCTTTGCCGGTCTTCCCAAGTTAGAGAATTATCTGGACGGAGGCACTCGACCGAGGCCACGAGACAAAGGCCATTGTAATGCTCCTTGTTTATTTTCGTCACGATATTGACAAAGATTTGAGAGAACACATTTGAAGTTGAAAACAAGAAAGTGTGAGGTTGTCGGCTCGGTCACTTCAGGCGCAAAGGCAGTTCTGTCGACAAGAGAGCAGCGGGATGAGGCTCAGATTCATCTCTTGGTGGGATCCACCCGGATGAAGTGAGGTGCAGAGAGGGTCTTAGGTCCGGAATGACCCCACGCGCCCACCCAGGTGGATACGAGGCGCTCCGGCAAATGGGCCGAGGGTGCACTGAATGAGGCGAGGGATGTGCGATATTCCGCGTGAAGATTCGGATCGAGGCTGGTGTGAAGAAGGTAGTTAAGTAGTGTACTCTGACTCCGGCCACCGTGCAACCCAGAGATCTGGCATCTGAGTGGCGTCTAAGAAGACGTGTGATTGGTGTGGTTAGCAATCGAGGTAAAGACGGCTTGGATAAGGCGCTGTGTGGTATTCAGTAGCGTTGATTAATCGGAGCTCGGGAGCATACAGACGTTTTCTATGCTGGGTGAAGCTCTGCGGATAGAAGTCCAGCAAGTCGTTGACGATGGAAGAAGAGGAGCCAATTAGCCGCGTCGAACAGCATTCAGGCTAAATGCGAAATAAAACGGGTCTCGGCGAAATCGATTCTCCACAATAGCACCTCGTGCGGGCCCTTGGGGTAAACAGCGATGCTCATTGAGAAGGTCCAGGCCAGGAACATGCGGATACTTACACAGGCTTGTGATGGAAAGAGAAAACGGGAATCAAGAAGAAGCAGTTTCTTTCGTTCAGAATACAGGCACACCTGAGGGGGCAGTGACACGTACGAAAAAGCTGTCACAATACAGTATTCGTGTACCGATATGAGTGACAAGGAGGCACAGCGTCAGCTGGCCACGGTTCCTTAGTAGGTAGATTCAAAGGGAACCAGTGGCAGAGCAGGAAAGCCGCCCTAGACCAACCCAAAGGAAAGGCTGTCAAAGTCACAATTCGCATGCATCTTGGCTTCCATCCCATCAAACTTTGCAAAATGGGACCCTGACCTTGACAGCCAGCAGCGGGAAGCTTGAACTCCAATTTACCCCAATGGAAGTCTCCTGGGTCGACCGTAGCTCAAGCAAGTCCTTACAGGCTGATTTAAACGCACAAATGGGCGCGTGTCATTCTGTAGCAGCGAGCCAGCAACCACCCACCCCCATCTCCACATGAAGGCCGGGCGGCTTATCCACGCGCGCCTCTCCGTCCGAGGTGCCTCTTCCTGCCCGTAACATTACCCGGCCACTACACTTATGGATATTTCACATCGTCCAATGTCAACGTGTCACGGGCTCGGAACGAGCAGCTAGCTTTCTACCCTCCGGCGGGGACCCCCTGGCTGCTTTGGTTGGTTCTGGGGAAGGCGATCTGTGTGTCACTTTTTATCCTATCGGTCCCTTTTCACCCCGCCAGCCTCTTGAGCCCTAGATATCGCCCCAAATCTGTATGGTGACGGCACCATGGGGTGTCTGAAAGCATGCAGCCGGTCGGAGACAGGTGGAGGTTATCGACGCGGGCAGGGGAAAGCCAGGAAGTTGTAACTGGTCTACTTACCCTTGGATTCAGCAAGCTTGCCTTCCCGGCCAGACGAATGTTCTACATTGCCTGGCAACCGCGTATCAGAGCACCTGACGTACCATGGTTATAAATACGTACATCGTCCCTCTTCCTGACCTCGAGCGCCGTCTGGACTTTCTCTCTCCCCCTCTCCTCTTCCCTCTCTCAAGTTCTGCCACGCTTCATTGATCTTGATACCCTCGAACCTGTCTTCGTCGTCCTACTCTTTTCCCCAGAAGAACGACAGCTACCATTCATCATGGCCGTTCCCAACATCAAGCTGAACAGCGGTTTTGACATGCCCCAAGTGGGCTTCGGTCTGTGGAAGGTCGACAACGCCATTGCCGCCGACACCGTCTACGAGGCCATCAAGGCTGGATACCGTCTGTTTGACGGCGCCTGCGGTAAGTGATCAGCCCACAAGCCATGAGCATACATTGTCAATGGTGTGGTGAGAGCGAGAGCAAGAGGGAGAATACTGCTGCGCAATCAATTCAGCTTCAGTGACAGTCAGCAACCGCGTGGCAACAAAGAAGCAATTGGACAGGTTTCTTTTTGGGAAAAACGCGTTGCGCGCTGCCATTGATGCTGGTGTTGGTGGTCTGCTTCGTCTCTCCCCCTCCATAATTTCTTCCTGGGTAGCCAACTACCCCTCCTCAACCCCACCATGGATGATCGGTGCGAATTTCTGCAGAGCACCGATGGGGATTTTCCCCCATGCGCTACAACTTCACCCGGAAAGCTCTCCGCAGCCACCCCTGCACTTCATCCGGGATTCGCACCCCTCCCCCAAACCTGCCCTGTCACTCGTCACTCCCCTCACTGCCCTCACCAATGCCATCCACTTACACTCGGGGCTACGCTCCCGCACTCCCCGAACTACATAAGGACAAATCAAACCATATACATTTTGATTCGCCATGACAACAAATTCTGCCATGGGGGACGCATGTCACTAACGTTGTCAATTATCTAGATTACGGTAACGAAGTCGAGTGTGGCCAGGGTGTTGCCCGCGCCATCAAGGAGGGTCTTGTCAAGCGTGAGGAGCTCTTCATCGTTTCCAAGCTCTGGAACACCTTCCACGATGGCGAGCGCGTAGAGCCCATCGTCAAGAAGCAGCTCGCCGACTGGGGCGTCGACTACTTCGACCTCTACCTCATCCACTTCCCCGTCGCCCTCGAGTACGTCGACCCCTCCGTCAGATACCCTCCCGGCTGGCACTACGATGGCAAGTCCGAGATCCGCCCCTCCAAGGCCTCCATCCAGGAGACCTGGACTGCCATGGAGAGCCTCGTTGAGAACAAGCTCTCCAAGAGCATCGGTGTCTCCAACTTCCAGGGCCAGCTCCTCTACGACCTCCTCCGCTACGCCAAGATCCCTCCTGCTACCCTGCAGATCGAGCACCACCCCTACCTGGTCCAGCCTGACCTGATCAAGTTGGCTGCCAACGAGGGCATTGCCGTCACCGCCTACTCTTCCTTCGGTCCTGCTTCCTTCAAGGAGTTCAACATGGAGCACGCCACCGACTTTGTCCCTCTCTTCGAGGAGCCCACTGTCACGGCCATTGCCAAGAAGCACAACAAGGAGCCTTCCCAGGTCCTTCTCCGCTGGGCTACCCAGCGTGGTCTTGCTGTCATCCCCAAGACCAGCCGCAAGCATGTCCTTGCCCAGAACCTGTCTGTCACCGACTTCGACCTCGAGCAGTCTGAGATCGACAAGATCAGCTCCCTTGACAGGAAGACCCGCTTCAACCAGCCCGCAAACGTGAGTCCATTCATTGCCGAGTTGCTTGTGTGTTACTATTGTCAGCTAACAGGATTTATCAGTACTTCCCCACTGAGAAGCTTTGGATCTTTGGCTAAATGGACCGTATCTCACACCCCATCCATCTCGCCTGATTTATCGCACTCCATAACTACCCATACTACCCCTCAGAGAGCGGCCTTTTGGTAGTCTGTAACTGGCGGTGTGCTTGGGAAATATGTCCAACATGTGTCAAACCACGTACAACGTACGTTGATTGTATCTAGATACCCTCTCTCCCGGCAAGACTATGATCTGCCGCTAAAATACAACGAAAGCCATGACCAAGCCAGGTTGGAAATCCCGCTCGCCCGTGACATGCAGCGTTGATACGCCCAAAGTCAGAAAAAAGCCGCCCGCCCATGAACAATGCATCATACCAGGCACTATGCGCTCATGCTCGCCAGAAAGCGCAGCTGAGTGTGTGTGTGTGTGTGTGTGTGTGTGTGTGTGTCGAGAAATATCTCGTGTGGTGAAAAAGGCCCTTATATGTCCATTGATGTCTGCCCTCGCACCCAGATCTTCTAATCAAACGCCTTTGTAACGCCACGCCAGCCTCGTAAATCTCATACTAGAACGCTGTGCCTGAAAATCATGATGTTTTGACAAAGGCTAGAACGATTTGTCAGCAAGCGATTTCGCAACAATGGTCTTCTTTTTCTTCAATGTACTCACTTGCGTCGATCTGGGATAGTTGGGGCAATGCCAGACGGACTTTATTGCGGTACACCGCGGGTCCCCTAAGCTGTAGCGGGTTGCCCTCAAAGTAGACCGTCGTCAGGTGTTCCTTGTCCTTGAGCTCCTTCTCGACCTCGTTGAAGTCGCCAATCTGGTTGTAGCTCGCCCAGAGCTCCTCGAGGTTCTTGAGAGGCGCGAGGCCCTTTACGCTCGCGACGGCGTTGTTGGAGATGTCGAGCACACGCAGCTTCTCGTTCTTTTCGATGCCGGCGAGGGAGGTGAGGGCGTTGTGGGAGATGTAGAGCTCCTCGAGGCTGGGCACCTCGGCCAAGGGCGCCAGGTCGCGGATGCGGTTGGACTGAATGCTGAGGAGGCGGAGGTTGGAGAGGCCGCCGAGCCCCGTGAGCTCGGTGATTTTGTTCTTGGCGACCCAGAGGTCCTCGAGCTTCTTCAGGGAGTCGAGGTTCTGGAGGACGCGGATGCGGTTGGAGCCGAGCTCGAGCGAGGTAAGGTCATTGAGTCCTTCGAGGTTTTCGATTGTGGAAATCTTGTTGGCGACGAGGAAGAGCTCTTTGAGCTTGGTCAGGTGGTTTACGCGCTTGATGTGCTTGACCTTGTTGAAGCTGAGGTCGAGGGAGGTGAGGTTGACGAGGTCGTCGAGGCCGCGGATGTGGGAGATGAGGTTGTCGTAAAAGTCGAGGTCCTCGAGGGTGGGCGCGAGGGCGGCGAGGCCGTCGATGGACTGGATCGAGTTCTGGCGGAGACAGAGGCGGACTACCTTTTGGAAGCGTTCGAGGCGGAGGGCGGGGATAGAAGAGACGCGGGCGTGGGAGACGATGAGTTCGTCTGTTTCTGGGTCTTCGCCGTCGAGGAGATCTGTGGGCAAGGTTGGGTGTGTTAGTTTCCATGCAACACGTCTCGCCTCGGACTTGTAGCCCAGTGCAGGAAGAGCGCGCCAGAGGAGAAAGACTTACCCTCGTCAGCAGGTAGTTCTTCGCCAGGAAGGACGTTCTCGTCGTCGGATTCCGGGTCGGAGAGGACCTCTGGGTTGGCGAGGACGGCGGTGCGCTGGACCCTGAGCTTGCCGTCCCATCCTTTGCTGTTCCTGAGGCCTGGGCTGGTTTGGCCGTCTGTCCGCGGGGAGGCGCTGACGTCTTCCTCCGGGAGCTCGATGCGCGGGGAGTGCCTCGGCGACGAGGGCTCTGTCGGGGTGGTGGGATCTACGGGGCCGGGCATGGTGGGCGCGATTCGATATCGGTTCGGAGCTGTCGCCGTGGTTGCTGTTGGAAGATAAGGTTTCTTGGCTCGGTCGTGGCTCCGAATGATGTTGGAGATTCCAAGAGTGGCGGGGTGAGAATGAGCAAACGGGGGAAAATGTAGTTATTGAAGTCGGCGGTGAATTCTCGGTGGGGCGGGGTGGGAAGATCTGATCAAGAAAGTGGGATGGTTTTGAAGGACCTGGAAGGAATGGGCACCTAGACGGAAATACCTAGAGGGGTTGTTTAGGTACTGAGAGGTCGATAGGTAGGTAATCAAGATCCAGTGTTGCACATGCCAGGATAAGGTATGGGGAGCAAGGGATGTGCGATTTCACGGCGTAAAGCAAGGCAACGTCCAATTTCGAGGGCGGCTGATTATTTATTTATTAGTTAAGCCCGCTTGCTCACACACTCACACACACCGCACATGTGGATGCCTTCCCCGACTGCCTGGTGCCCGTATTGGTGCCGGTTCTGGGCGGGGGAGGGGAACAGCACAGCACATGCCCTGCCCCTGGGAGTTTGGGAACACCTGCAATGAGGTAAGCTCTCTGAAGTTGAGAAGTGACAGGATGGCTGGGCTCGTCGTCCACCTTACTCCGTACACTACGTAAGGTACCTTATGGTTCATCACCTCTCCTGCCTTTTTCATTCGACCTACTGGATACCTGACCTTATTTCACGAGTGTAGGATTGGCGGGCTGGTTCCAGCAATCCATCGAGGGCCGTTTGGCGCTAGAGTATGACGTCCCAATGTCCCTGGAAAGTACCCAAGTAGCAGTGAAGGCGGGGGCACAGTGTCTGTCACAATACCTAAGCTAAGTGGAGGTATTGTACCGGGCTGGATGGACCGAGAAGGCGAGGATACCGCCGTGGAATGAGATGATGATGATGATGATGCTCCTGAAGCGAACGGATATTGAAGCAGCAGAAAGAGCAGCTTAATGACTGTCTTACCACATAGATCGAAAATACTCTCTAAAAAGCCATTGTTGCAGGCTGTCTGGCTGTCTGGCTGTCTGGCTGTCAAGCTGAGATTTGTCTGGCTTGCCCGTGTCACAGAGCGGCCTTGTCTCAGACCCAGCACATGTCTATACGTACCTCAGTACGTACAGTCCATACTGAGGTACAGATACCATGGCCATACGGATATTCCAGTTCCATTTCATACAGCAGGACACACCCCAAAACCACACCCACCTTGTGTCAATGGCGGAAGCCCGCCCATTGTCCATTACCTACTCTTCGAGTTCCTATGGTACAAGATCCAAAGAGACTCCCCGTTGCAATTGAGGGACGAATGCAGACCGCTGACCATTGGGCCGGAATCCTTGGACCCCGACCTGCAATCTTGGTACTTAATAAGTCCGTCTTCGTTTGCCGCCAACACCGAATTCGAACGTTGCCCCCGAAGCTCTCTGGACGGAATAGGACCGCCTGCATGCCGGCCATTTTGAACCCAGTCGCGTTTGAACACGACCATATCCGCACCATGTCATGACCCGTCACTCTATACCTTAGTCCACGATACCTACTTCCAACCAACGTCTCCATCTTCGTTTTTGCGCAAGCAGCAGCAGCAGCAGCAGTCAGGAACCGCCCCTCTTTTCCAGGGTACCTAACGCTTCTGTTTAAGGTAATCCGCAGCTCAGGGTCTTATTCCGTTACCTTCAACCCAACATCTCATCATCCACCCATGCCCGATACGCGCCTCCATGTCTCGCAAGCAACCGTGATGCATGTTATCCGCGCATCCTCGATTGGGCAGCTTCTACAACGTTGTCGCCGTCTGCAAGCACTTCCCATCACACCACCATGGCGAGCCACGTCTCAGCGGCAGTCGATGCCGAAGCTGCTTTTGACGCCGCACCTCGGCCTCACCCACAAGCGGCACTTCAGAGCTGAGGCGCTCTATCTACCACCGCTTGTCTTCACCGGCCTTCTGGTCACTCTGTGGACGCAAAAGTGTCTCGCAATGATCATCTTCCAGAACAAGATCATTTACATGCCAGGCCTGCCACCTAATGCACGTAGGGAGCGCATCCAAGACTATGCGAAGCAGTGCTGGGGCCTACAGTGGGAGGAGAAGAGGATCCGCGCCGCCGATGGGACGGATCTAGCTCTCTGCGTGGCCTCGGCGATATCGACTGGTGGGAGGAAGACCACGTCGCTCGACGACACTCTATCGGTGCCGTCCATCTACATCCTCTACTTTCAGGGTCCGCCTCGTCCCCATTCCCATACTCTGGCTGGCGCATAGCTTTTCCCCTTGTGCCTCTCCAAACGATCAAAGGCTCATGCTTTGGGGAAAATAGGAAACGCCTCGTCCATCCCCCCACGGTTGCCCGACCTATCATGGGTCCTACAATCGTTGCAGCAGAGCAAACGGCCCGCGCGATACACATTCGTGTGCCTAAGCTACCGCGGGTACTGGACGTCTAGAGGTCGTCCTTCCGAGAAGGGCATCAACCTGGACGCGCAGGCGGCTCTGCACTGGATTGGGCGGATGCACAGCGAGCACGACGTCCACGGGCACCAGCCCATGCCGGAGGTAATACTCTGGGGTCAGAGCATCGGCGCTGGGGTCGCCACGAACCTCGCCGCGTGGGAGGCGTTCCCGCCCACGTTGCGGCTACGGTCGCTGATCCTCGAGACGCCTTTCACATCCGTCAAGGACATGCTGGCGACGCTGTATCCTCAGAAATGGGTGCCGTACCGTCATCTCTGGCCGTTTCTCCGGAATCACCTGGACAGCTGGACGAACCTAGCCACGATCGCGGGGAACTGGTCCGGGTCGAGGAGCTGTGAGAGGCCTCGCATTACGATCGTGGAAGCTGGCAGGGACGAGCTAGTGCCGGCTGAGCACGGCGCGAAGCTGGTCCGGCGCTGCGAGGAGGTCGGACTCGAGGTAGAGAAGAAGACGGTGCAGGGCGCCTTCCACAACGATGCCGTCATCAGGCTAGAGGGACGCAGAGCCGTCGTCGACTGCGTTGAGCAGGTCGCTGCTAGAATCTGATGGACACTGACAATGACATCAAGTGAGGCCTGTCTACGGATGGCTAGGCAGTAAACTCGCACAAAGCTGTCACGGTGACACTTCAGAGCTGTAAATGTTGGTCATCCTGAAGTGGACAAACCTAATTGGCGAATAGAATATGCCGAGGGAGCCCTCGGCGTTCGAATTCGGTTCGAATTTCGTACTGGGAAGCTAGGAACCGCTCCCCGGGCCCCGACAAACCGGTGCAAGGTTTATTAGAGAGGTGATTGATTGTCAGGGGTTAAATTGCCTTGCCTCTATTTGCAGGAAGCCGAGCCTGGTTCATGGTACCATTCCTTGCGGTCCAACACCATTTGCGCCATCCCGTAGGCCTCTCTCTGAACATCGGGCTTTTGAGGTAGAGGAGGACAATACGTCGATTCTCTGTGAGCTCGATTCGTCTTCAAATTGATGCTTCACATCATCAGAAAATTCCCTTCACCCCTACACTATTCCTGGAACTTGACTGAAAGTATTCTCCCCTTGTGTGACGGCAATGAAGCCAGATGGAGTGCCTGCTCCTAACATTTCTTATTCCGGCCAAGTGATGGGTACAGAAGCTTGGACGCGGCCATGCCGCCTTAACGTGGATCATCTCAGGCTATTTTCCACTGTTCCAGGCACCTAGGCAGCGTTCGTGTGAAGTGTGAACCGTCGGCGCACCACAGATGTGTGCTCGGCAGCCCGCAAACTCCCGGACAGAGGTACTCTTTGGACCATGGAGTCACCGCGGAGTGACCTGTCAATGGGAGCGAGGGAATCATCCAGCCCCCCTGACTTGAGCACAGTGGCACCGAACCAAATGCACCAAAGCCAACGCAAGCTTTCACACACTCTCTCCTTTTTTTGGGACTCGGCTGCTTGTTAAGTTGTCCCCCCTGCGGATGGCTTGGACATGGCGCGGTTTTGGAACCGGGTTCGGCCTGGTACCCAGTGCCTGCCAGTGTAGACCAGTCTTCCCAACAGTGCCACCATAGAGGCAGCCAAGCCAAAACCCGACGCACCACCCACTTTCCCGTCAGCGAAGTACCCTGCTGGCGTGCACGTGATATCGCATCCGAGGCGTGTGTCCCTCAGACCCACCGACGCGTTCCCCTTGATCCCCCAGACGCGTCCAATGAGGACGTTCTCACCACTTTTTTTTTTATCAGTCCGCCCCCCTTTCCCCCAGGCTCAGAGTCTCGGTGCATTCTGTTCAAAAGCAGCCGGTGCAAGGCATTCACTGCAACGTACTTCAAGTAGGGGAGGGATCTCGGGGGACCGTGCCAGGAAGTCAGGCTGTATATATTAGAATCCCATCGCCCATCCCCCATGAGTTTCTATTGAGTTCTCTCTTTCTCCTATATTCACGCATCTCAGAAACGGCGCCTTAGGTAGGTCAAACGCATTTCCCCATCAGAATCAATCTTTCGGTCCATCCCATAGTCATCGATAATCAATCATTCCATCCATCACCTACTTTTTCCATCACTTGAAATTTCCCCTCCCACGACGTTCCTTAGGCATCCGAGGTGCGATATCTGCTACTATTCGCATTCTGTTCTCTTTTACTCCGCAAAGCCGATCCCAAACATTCCAGGGAGCACCAGCCAAAATGTTCAGCAGACGCTACGAACCACCACAGACCGTTAACAAGAGCTTCTCGAAGAGCCACAAGGCATCCAAATCCAGCTCGTCATTCAGCAAATCCAGCGGCGTTTCGAAATATCGCCATGAATCCCGCCACAGCCGACGGCCAACAACCGCCACTACAACTACGAGCACCGCAACCGAGGATACTTCCATGAGCAAGTAAGTCTTCAATACATTTACTCTGTATTCCCCATCGAAATCCATGCCTATCGCTCCAAGAGGAAAATGTGAACCAGGCACTAACAAAAGCCTCTCCAACAAACAGCAACCTCACCTCCGCAATTGTAACCCTCGTCGTCGGCACAGAACAGCGCCTCTTCGCCGCCCACGAAGACGTCCTCTGCGCATCGCCGTTTTTCCAAAATGCCCTCCGCGCCAACCTATACGGCAGCCCCGCCGACGTCGTTGGCTCCCCCGCCTCCGTTGCGTCCTCGTCGGCTGCCCCGACCAAGCGCATCGCCCTCCCCGACGAGGAGCCCGAGATCTTCTCGTCCGTGCTGGAGTACCTCTACAAGGGCGACTACTACCCGCGTCTGGTACACAACAAGCGCCGCAACTCGTGGGAGATTGAGGCCCTCAGCAACGGAGAAAACGGCCGGGGTGGCGTCGAGTCGACCGTCTACCACCACGGAGTCGACGGCGATTTGCTCAAGGACACGGTGATTTACTGCGCTGCGGAGAAGTACGGTCTCGAGGAGCTGAAGAGGGTTTCGCTGAGGAAGCAGGGCCTTCGTAAGTTCTTTAATCATTTCTACCCTCTTCACTTTGCAACATCCTGCTAACAGATTGGCCTTTTAGAGTCCGGAATCCAGTGCAGCACCATCTTGGCGTCGGCCCGGTACGCCTATGCCAACACGCCCGACAGCGACTCGAAGCTGCGGGCGCACTACCTCGCCCTCATCATCCGCAGCCGGAGCACCTTCAAGCGGAGCGGGACGATGCAGCTAGAGATGTACAACGGTGGCACCCCGCTCTTCTTCGACCTCTTTGTCGCGCTTTGCAACCACGTCGACGACATCTCGACTGTGTAAGTAGGCCCTCGAAAAGCGAATTACCAAATTACGAACCCGTTACTAACCGTCGTTTAGAAACTCTCCTCGCACACCCCGCGGTGGCCGTTTCTAAGGCTCACATCATCCTCACCCTTTCCCCGTTTCCTACACCTCCAATGTTCTCATCTCAGCCAAGGACGAATGAATACCCGGCTCATCATAACTAATGACTTTACGTTCTCACGCAATCTTTGCCTTTCATCTTTCTCATCTACTTCTCATCTTATTTCACCACTGACTGTCGCTGGAACGGGCGATATGAAGCCTGCTGGACTCGCAAAAACCGCAAAATACCATAAACATCAGGGCGTTTGAAAACCCATCCCACTGGATCGGGATGGTCATGGCGTTTGGGACAATATCTTGTATCAATCTTTGCAATTTTCCAGGCATCTTTTACTTCGTTTCTTCTTAACTTCTCACGAGAAACCCTTGTACATTTATTTCTTACTTTGGCGAGACGATAACTCCATGAGCGGAGGAGAATCTCACGAGGCGGTTTCTTTGCAGACAGGAAAACTGGGTCTTCTTCATCGTCCACATAGAGACGACTGAGAAAAACAAGACCCGAAGGCTCTGGGAATAGCAGATCGAAGAGGACGAGAAAAGAGACGAAAGAAGATTGGGACAGATTGCGTCTTCTGCGAAAGAGATCGAAATCATGAATTGTAAAATTGTCATTCTTCACACTCGCTTTCTAGTTTCTGAAAATCTACAGGAGTTGATGCTGTGAATCTCAAGTCTTGTTTCCGATGGAAATTGAAGATATCTCGTTGTTGCGATATTCACAAAATCCAGCGAATGATTTGGTGGCCCTATTCTGATATCTCCAATTTCCTCCTCCCTGTGATTTGAAACCTGGCCAACACAACCTACCGAAGCCTCCGACCGTGAGCAAAAAGTCCTACGTGAATACTCGTGAATGCCCAAGGCACCCGGATTCACAGGCCCCGATCCAGGCAAACTATCCCTGCCTATCTTAACCACATCCATCGACCCCCCCGGTCCCCTCCTCGCCGGTAGAGTGTCCCGGTTCCTGGTCCGCCCGCCGCGGCGACCAGGCTCGCCTAGCGTAGCGGCCGTGTTTCTGGATACCTGGTACTTTGCCCCTCTTCGAGCTGTGAGTCATATTGCTAGCATCACCGAGGCTGACTCTTAGCAACACTATCACGGATTCACACACATCACTTCCGAACCCGACTCCACTCTTGTTCGGGAACACACACAACACACACACATACTTTTAGATCCCCGGCTTTTCTCTCTTTGCTTCTCCTGAACTACCTTATCACGCTACTAATGCAAACACTTAAACCAAAAGTCAACCACCAGGGACCCCCTCTTCGCTTACTTGGGTAGGCCGTTCGTACTGGTGGGTGGGTGTGTTGGTGAGACGTTAGTCATTGATCAGCCTTTACTGCTCGTGTCGTGCTTGAGTCGCAATGTGAGGGAATCATTTTTAAGGGATGAACTGAAGGTGGAGAGGGGTGTGGTGGAAGTGTGCGTGAGGTTACATTCTGAAAGGTGGTATAGAATAGACACCACATTTGGGAGTGGTTTTCTACGTATGGGAAGGTGGTGTTCAACTGTTGTTGCGTGGCCGCGTGTAACTGGTGTGATTGACCTTTCTCAAATACATCTATCCCCATGCGTGACATATTTCCGGTGAAATGCAAGCTTGATATATGTCACACATACACATCACATAGATTGATGGCCGGTGAAATCGGAAAACCTTCGCATATGCATTATTGAGCAGATGTTTTTTCTCGAATGAAGAAAAGCGCTCACTTTTATTGATTAAACGACAGTCTCAAATTACCCTCCCCAAACGGCCACGAGGCCACGAGGCCACGAGAGCGTGCTTGCCTGAGGTGGGAAGCCGCAAGCCCTTTCCCATCGCACCTACCTTCCCGACCCCAAACCTTCATCTGATTCCTACCTAACCTTCTCACTCATCCAGGTTCGGAGTGAATATACACAGGAAGAAGCCCATATAGAACCCCTCAACTCCATTCTCGTCACCAGCACAGCAGGCGCCCCCCTGGGTCGGGGGCTCAGGTCAAACTGTGACGTGGGTGGTGGAATGGTTTAATTGTCACCAATTTATTCACGCCAACCAGCCTACTCGACGACAGGCTCAGCGCATACGAGTACCCGAGTTCGAATCCCGGAATGAGCACCAAGAGATGTAGCCCCCAGTTCAGCACCGGGGTGAACTCTTTTGTGGTTTTGGTTTTTGGATCTTTGATATGCTTATGTAATTGAGCATTGGAATAATCGAAGCAATTTGCTGAGTCTCAATGTATTTGCGTCTACTGATTGATCCCGACAAACGGCGTCGAGATAGACTTTGCTTTTTCGATTGCCCGGTATCACTAAGATACTCATGCATACATCTTCCTCGCACCAATGCATGCCGCTAGGTGAGCTCATACCTTATACGAGGCCGCGTCGCCCATGCCTATTGGGTCGAACATCTTCTCGCTGCTTTTATGCGCACGATGGTGTGGTACAAAGACTGTATTATCTCAAGTCTTTGGACTGGTCTAAAGTCTCATGCGGTCGGAGTCCCCACCCCACCATCCCCGTCTAAACCCCTGTTCCGGGGAACGCCCCGTTCTTGGAGAGGACGACGATGCCGCGCTCGCGGGCGATGTAGCCCTTCATGAGGTTCTGCAGATGAATGGTTTGTAAGTCATGTACTCGTGAACGAGGCGTTACTATGGAGTTGTTCCAGAGTAGCGAGCTTTTACGGAAGTCGTCACGACACTGGATTGCCTTGAGCACGCAAGGTCGGTACCGTGATGATGTTGCCTACAAGGCATCCCTAAACGCACGACGAAAGAAAAGCTGCCACGTACTTTGTAAATCATGTTTGCCAGCAGGCACTCAACCTCGTCCGGGTCAACAGTCTCCTGGCTACCGAGGCTAATGGCAGCTGTGAACTCGGCGACTGGGACTCTGGTCCGACGGACGGGAGCGGTGCCCGCTTCCTTCGCCTCCTCGAAGCCGCCGGCGACAAAGACTTTGCGTAAAAGGTTGCGCAGGGCAATATCGCGACCGCGCTCCAACGTAAGGTAGATTCTGCGGCGGACGAACTCCTCTTCGCCTTCTTGTAGAGCCAAGTCAAAGTTGCGCAAATCGCCCTTGCGGATGCATTGCGACAGTGGGAGGAAGAGCTTTTGCAGCCGCGGGTAAGGCTCGAGGAGTTTGCTGCTGGGCAGGGTGTGCGTGGTGAGAAGATGGCATGGGATTAGGTAGGTAAGGATTCTCCTACAATCCTTGTCAGTGGTTGGGGATGATATTGTGGGGTATCTCGAGATGACTTACTCTTGGTTGCTCTTCGCATTCTTGTGACACAATGACCATGCCTCAGTGAGGTGCTTTTCGGCCTGAATTTCGTCAGATTATCAATTGAGAACTGGCTTTCTCTAGGTAATCGTACCTCGACATAGTTCTCTTCCAAGAAGAAGAGCACGCCTTCGTAATACTTAAATGTCACCCGCTGTGACTTGGGAAATGCTTCCAAGGGAGGCATATCTCCACGGTTCGTGGATAACGCCTTGAGGATTGTCCGACTCAAACTCGCCGAGTTGAGTTTGAAGTAGGTCTTGAAGAGCAGATTAATAATGTAGTAAATAGCCCACTTTCGCGATTCTTCGAGAGGTGCTCTGTACACAGTCAGGACCAGCCAAGAGCCTTTGCGTCTGTCGACCTACCTATCGCTCAAACACAGAGTAAAGATACGCTTGAGCTGCTGCTCGCAGTCTCGCAGCTGCTTCTGCTTTTCCAAGTCCGGATCGTAGTCATCAGCAAGCTCCATTGCATCTGCAGTGGCATCGGTGATGCTCCGCTCCTCGTCCGAGCTGATGGCGAAGAGTCGCAAGTGCTTGCCAGCAAGGTAGAGGCACGGAATTGTCCACGCCTCGAAGCCATAATTAGTGTAGCCTCGGATGAGAGCAGTGGTGAATTCTTTCCAAGACTCATACACCTTGGTCCATGATGAAGTCTGTTGTTGGTGTTAGTGGTGGAGCTGAAGAAAGGGGACGGGAGGCGTATTGCGCAAGAGCTCACCCTACCTCCAGCAGCGGAGTCGCCCTCTGCTTTGAGAATCTCGCCTATGGCTTTCCAGTACGCTGTGTAGACTTCTATCCAGCCTGTAGTCTCCTCATGATCGAGCTTGAACTTCTTAGATCCCGGACCCCGACCGAGGAGCATGTACTTGATGTCGCTCTTGGCTTCTTGGACGTTGGTGCTCAGATAGATGGACCGTAGCTTATCCGGCTTGTTGACTGGACTGAATGGCTGAAGTGTCTGCGCAAGAGAGTACCCAGACCGACTCTTGTAGGCATTGCGGAAGTCCTCAAATAGAGGCTCCATCCTGTTTCTTTGAGCCCTTGTCGATGTTGAAGGGTGAGTGGGTGAGTTGAGTGATGGAAGAACTGAAGGGCTGGAAAGCGAGCGCCCTAGAGACTGTTTGGAAAGTGACGCCAATTCAACCAGCTAGAGCCTGCAAAAATGAATTCAGAAGGCAACCTGCCTGCCAGACTTATGATGAAAGCGATCCCCGTCTAACATTAGACAGCAAATGTAGTTACCTTTGTGACGCTGTTGCTCGACGGCGGGCGGTCTGCGCTGTGATTGGTTGGAACCCAGCGACTTGGGGACTCACCAGAGGCAGCTCCTCCCTCTGATCTTTCTGGTGGACACAGGCTGTTCTGCGCCTGGAATTCAAGGCAGGAATGCATTGCAAGACCTTCTCGAAAAACTGGGCGGTTTTAGGTGGATCCCCACCAGCCGCAACGAGGTGGGGTCCAGTCGCTTAGGAAAGTGTGGCGTTGACACATAGGGTTCTCGCCCTTTTTTGCATTTACCCAACTTTTTTGTTTTCCCATTCGGCTTCAGACCCAGCAGCAACCACCACGATATCGGATAATCGACGACCATCGGCCAGCTCTTCAAAGTAAGTCACCAATTACTCAAGTCCGCGGGGGATCTTCAGTTTCTAACAAATTATTCAAGATGGGTAAGCACAATTCCTCTCTCCTCGCTTGGATCTGGATCTTGGATGCGAATGCTTGCTGCGAATTTTTCGAACTCCGACCGCGACGAACAAACTTTTCCAAGGCTACTTAGGACATCACGAAGATGTCGCAGTCTGGCACGATACCAACAGCACGCCTGCTTCTTGGATTCAACAACACCGATAGCCGTCAGCTTGTACGTCAAGCGAGACCACCGCACATTACCAAATGACGAATGAGTCGGGGCTTGGCTTGGGAGGAACAGGAAGGAGGAGAATTAGCGCAAGACCTGGCATGACCTCACGACGCAATGCGATTTTGGCCGCCCATCCGAACCCGACCGACCGGAAGATTCGCAGCAGCTCGAAATGATATAGCAATTCGCATCCTTGGATCCAGAGATTTTGTGGTACTAGGACGACGCATAACTAATTATTTTCGCTGTAGGTCGTCTTTCGGAATACGAGGTCATTGGGCGCCACTTGCCCACCGAGTCCAACCCGACTCCCGCGTTGTACCGCATGACCATCTTCGCTCCCAATGTCACGGTTGCGAAGTCCCGTTACTGGTACTTCTTGCGTGGCCTGAAGAAGGTCAAGAAGGCCACTGGTGAGATCGTCAGCGTTAAGGAGGTACGTCACCGAAAATTCGATTTTCCAAATGCACTGCAATCAGAAACTGACTCTGTACGCTATAGATCCAGGAGAAGCACCCCCTCAAGGTCAAGAACTTCGGTGTCTGGCTCCGCTACGACTCCCGCTCCGGCACCCACAACATGTACAAGGAGTACCGCGAGATGTCCCGCACCGACGCCGTCGAGGCTCTCTACTCCGACATGGCCGCCCGCCACCGTGCCCGCTTCAGGTCCATCCACGTATGTGCCCTTGCTTCGAATACCTCGCCCGGAAAGCCGAACTCCCTACTAACAAAAGCCCCCAACAGATCCTCAAGGTCGTCGAGCTCGAGAAGGGCGACGATGTCAAGCGCCCTTACATCAAGCAGCTCATCACCAAGGGCCTCAGCTTCCCCCTCCCCCACCGCGTCTCCAAGCTCAACAACCAGAAGATCTTCAGCGCGAAGCGTCCCACCACCTTCGCATAAAGTGTTGGTTGTTGTGCGGCGTTGTTTCTCTGGTTTTCGACAAATGGAGGGGCGGGCTACTACTACTTGGCAGGTGTTCACTAGGTCTATGGAACTATCACGTGCATTTGCTCTCTGAAGGCGGGGGCCACCAAAAGAAATGAAATCAATTCAAAACATCATCTTTTCGCGAGCATGGCCAAAAAAGCAGCAGGGGAGGGAGGGGAAACCTTACTCAAACCACCCTTTTGATAGATGGACGAATGATACCTGAGTACGAAGCTGTGAATTACGACTTCTTGATGAGACGATGCGGTTTACCTTAGATCTGCTCGGCCAGAAGAGGGATGTCAAGACGTCCGGCTTCGTCTACGTAGACAAATGCCAACTCACCCTGCGTCGGTTGTCAAAGTTTTTCTCATTGCTAGTGATGTGAAAGATGTATATCTTCAACTGTTCGTAACTTCGAGTGCTTTTCGCTTGGCATCCACCTTTCCAAGCTGCTCTCAAACATGTGAGTAGATGTCACCCTACTGGGCGTGACGTACCCCCTGTAACTTCTTCTAGTGGTTGTTCGTGTTCTAGTGTCCGGTGACATACCCACCATCACCACCACCACCACCACCAGGACATGAAGGTTCGGCGACAGTTCCCGTTCACCTACGTCGTATACTTACCTCAATATTGAGATAAGGTACCTCAACACTGGGCCCGCTTGCTTCGAGCAGCTAATGTCAAGCTGTCGGAAATTTTTCACTGATTCAATCCCGCACAATTTCAATTTTTACATTTGAGAGTCTAGATTTCCAAGGTTCTCTTCCATTCTTCAGGATTGATAGGCGTGATTCATCATCCCTATCGTACAGCAGCACCATTTCATTTCCTTCCTTTCCTTTTTCCATGTTATGCACCACACCTACGGGCCAGTTCATTTGGGTATCCCATGCGCCTCCTCCTCCTCCTCCTGTTGTGGTTCCCTTGGTCACTCAACCTGAAATCACCCGTCATCCCCAGGTGACCTTTCCATATTCGCATCAACGACAAACTCGTCCCACGAACTAGGATCCCACCCGAAGTCCCCGGCATCCATCTGGATCCCGAAATGCGCAATCAGGTCCTGCGGGTTACTGAAGAGCGGCGTGCCCCCAAACATGGCCATGTCCTCAGGCGTCAGCCCGAACGGCGGGTGCATGGGCGCCGACGTTGACGAAGGCAGTGATGTCGCGGGTAACTCTGCCGCGGCCGCTATCGAGGGGTCGACCGCCATCGGCGTGGGGCCGCCCAGACCGACTGTGTTTGTCGTCGCGAAAGACATACTCGTGGGAGGGAGCGTGGAGCCGCCTCCGTGCCAAGCAGCAGCGCCGGCGGCGACGTTGGTGCCGCCGATACGATCTGTTCTGAAAGCCGGGTGTAATGTTCCCATACTCACACCGTGGCCTCCCACTGCCGCCGCCGCCGCCGCCGCCGCAGCCGATGACTCCTGAACATCTGTGACATCCACATCTCCATCCCCATCCTCATCGCCATCCTCATCGTCATCATCATCATCCCCCTCCTCTTCCTCATGCTGCGGCACCTCCACCGTCTTCCTCGCAGCCTCCTTCTGCTCCGCCGCCGCCGCCGCAGCAGTCACAGGCAAACCCCTCCCGCCATCGCCCAACTTCAACGCCCCCATCATAGCCTCCGCCCTCGCAGCCCTCGCGCGCCTCAAAAGCTTCTTCAACGGCCTCCAAAGCGTACCCCGTCTCGTGTCCGCGATCCGCTCCCTCATCCCGTGGAAGTTCCGATCCACCACCCGCCAAGCCCGCTCCACCAGCTCCCCGCGCGTCTGCACGCACAGCTCCGCCAGCGCGACGGCGAGCGGGTGCCACTGCACGTAGCTGTCGATCCACCACCCGAACCGCTCGCGGTACGTCGCCGAGCTGTACTCGACCAGCTCGATCGTGTTCACCGCCGTGCGGAGCATCGTCTCCCGCGCGACGCGGGGCTTGGCCGTCGCCGTGGAGGCGCGCGGCGTAAAGGGGTACTGCGCCGATAGCCACATCTTGAGGATGATGATGCGCACCGTCACGGCGGCGTGGTTGGCGGGTAGGTGCCGCGTGTCCTGGTCTTCGTCGTCGCCGCCGCCGCCGCCACCACCACCGGAGCCATCGCCGTCCGATGCAGGTGTTTTGGCCGGCGCGGTGCCAAAGAGCGCTTCGAGACGCTGCGCGTGTGCCATGATTTCGTCCTCCGACGTTGTCGGCTCCGGCGTGCCATCGTTGTCAAGCGCGAGCTGCGGGTGCCGCGGCCGCAGGTTGCCAAAGATGCCCGACGACATGCTCGTGCACAGGCAAAACGTCATCTCGGTCGGGCCCGTCCTGTCCTCGAGCGGGTCCGTCGTCGCGGGGCCGAAGTCGTCGTCGTCGAGGTTGAAGGGTAGGCGGGTGTTGTAGGACTGCCGCGGGATAGCGGCGTCGGTGCCGCGGTCCTCGGCGGCGCGGATGTCGAGGACGACGATCATCCACCACAGCCGGCGGCGCATCTCGGCCTCGAATGGCGGGAGCGGGGGGTTGACGCCGTCGCGGTGGAGATGGAGAGCTTGGGCGAGGCGGACGACGAGGGGAATGAGGGCCCATGAGGCGCGGCTGGCGTTGTGTGAGCGGAGGAAGCACTGTGAGATAGGTTAGATACTGAGATTAATGAAGTGAGTGAGATTGAGTAGTGAGACTCACCACGTAGTACGTCAGCGCTTGAAGGGTCCGAATCTCAGTGCTGTTGAGATAATCCGCCTTGTGAAGCGCCCTCTCAACGCCCTCCCGATACCTCTGCGCGAGAACGCTCCTCTCCTCCCCCAAGTTCCTCAGACAAGCTTCGTTCGTCAAGCTCGTGACGGCGCCATAGTACATGGAAAAGAACAAGGCCTCCGTCGCATCGTCAATGTGCTTATTCACAGCGTTCGCGAACCCTTCCAGCTCGACAGAGACCGTCGGCCGGTGAATCACCTTGAACGCCGGATCGACGTTGGAGAAGAAGATGCCGCACATGTACATGATGTGATCCCGCGGCGGGTGCCTCAGCGGCTCGTCCCCGCCCGTGACGAAGCTGGATATGAGCCCGGACAGCGCGGGCGGTGTCTGGCCCTTGTTGGCAGTGGATGACTCGGGGCTCGTCGTACTGTGATGATGATGATGATGATGCTGCTGCTGCCCCTGCTGCCCCTGGCCTCCTTCCTCATCGTCGGACCCTTCGCTGTCGGAGGGCTGGTCTAGAGCCTGTCTCATGCCCTCGACCTCT